CTTAAAATATCCATAGTGGACAAGGGTGCTCTGAATGACTAAGTAGTAAGACCTCCCGTGAAGAGGCGGGAGTAAAAAAATAAGACGAGAAGACCCTATGGAGCTTCAATTAATTAACTCAAGAAAATATAATTCCCTCCAAAAGGTGAGCAAAGAACAAAAAACTGAGTTAACAATTTCGGTTGGGGTGACCTCGGAGTATAAAATAACCTCCGAGAGATTCAAGCCAAGACCTACGAGTCAAAGCTAATACATCACAATTGATCCAATCATATTGATCAACGGAACAAGTTACCCTAGGGATAACAGCGCAATCCTATTTAAGAGTCCATATCGACAATAGGGTTTACGACCTCGATGTTGGATCAGGACATCCCAATGGTGCAGCCGCTATTAATGGTTCGTTTGTTCAACGATTAAAGTCCTATGTGATCTGAGTTCAGACCGGAGCAATCTAGGTCGGTTTCTATCTATTTAATATTTCTCCCAGTACGAAAGGACAAGAGAAATAAGGCCAACTCTACAGGAGAGCCTTAAAATCAATAGATGAATTAATCTCAATCTAGTAATTTATTATAATCCTGCCCTAGAAACAGGGCTTCGTTAGGGTGGCAGAGCCCGGAAATTGCGTAAAACTTAAACCTTTATTACTCAGAGGTTCAAATCCTCTCCCTAACAACATGTTCATAAGTAATCTTCTAACACTAATTGTTCCAATTTTACTTGCCGTAGCATTCCTAACCTTAATCGAACGAAAAGTATTAGGTTACATACAATTACGTAAAGGACCCAACGTAGTAGGACCATACGGACTACTCCAACCAATTGCTGACGCAGTAAAATTATTCACAAAAGAACCACTACGACCACTAACATCATCAATCTCTATATTCATCGCAGCCCCTATCCTAGCATGAAGAATAAATTAAGATTTTGGCAAGTACAAAGCAGCTTGAAGAAATGACTACAGGAACATCTTCCCCACCCTTATCTAGTTAATACAGAATAATGAAATGAAGTCTTCAAGGATTAATACCTACTTAAAAAAGGGATGATTATCCCCATTACGTTATTTAAAAGCCTAATTCAGCATGTTGTCCATCTTAGAATGAATGGGACCTCACAATGTATTACCAAAGCCTCTATGTCATGACCCCACTCATTTAGGCCAACAATTTCCATAATATAACTAATATTATGGAAATTGTTGCCTGTTTAATCAGAAACTGATAGTGATTTTCTGTTATAGATTTGGATAATAGGATTTGTTCAAAAGCCTCTCAGTCCGTTTCCTAACCATTCAGATGAAAATGAGACACCTTTACCTGGCTACTCTTGGCACACCTAACAGCTCTGCTGTATTACATTATCTTTGAAGGAAAGACCTTCATTGAATTCAGCTTTCTCCAGGAGCACAGGTGTGATACTACACTGATGCCATCTTCTTCCAAGGGACTCCATGGAAATACTCTCATTCAGGACAGATGTTTAAAAAGGAATGCACACACACAATAAAGAATGGGTCAGGACACACACACAGTGCAGAACATTGCCATTTTGGACAAATTTCTGAAAATGCATGGGTAAACTGAAAACTGCTCCATCCTTGACACTGTCAGAAAACCACTACTGAATGTATTAGAACCAATATTAAAACAAGCCTGACATCTATTTTTGGGGGGCGGGTGCAGTTGTGGAGGCACCATATTTTCACTTTAAAATGTTAAGCCCATTGTGTTACTTGCAAATAGACCCACATGAATGGTGTTCCCTCCTACAAAAGGCTCTAGGAGGTTTTTTCAAATACTGTTCTATAGGCTCTCCTATTAGTGACCCCCAGAAATTCATTCACTGCAGAAGCTTAGCAACCTCCCCTTATGCCTCTTTGAATTTCTTGACCACCAACAATGGCCTTGGTCTTCTGATGCAAGAAACTGACCTACTAGCCCCCATGCCATATGTCATTAGAGTGGTAACTGCTGGGTACATACTGGGGTCACCTGGAAATAGAAGCTGTCATAGGCCTTGAGCTGGTGACCATCCATATTGTTAATTATATGGGCCTTGGAAGAAGCACCTTGCAAACTCATCACATGTACCAGAGCCTCTCTGCAAGGACAGTTAAACCCGAGTCCTCTGGCATATCACACTTAAAGATGGAGATGGCCTCACTTGTGCTTAGCTCCTGGGCAGATGCCATAGTGTTGAAGGAGGTCTCTTGGGATCACCTGTGTGAATAATAGGAGCTTTTATGATTTATGGATGCATTGCTATAATCAGACATGAGGAAGCTCAGTGGTTTGCGGTTGCTTTTCATCCCTTAACCAGTATGTTTCTGATGAAGCACTAGACCCAAGAATCAACATAACTAGCCAAACTTCAGGTAGGTAGTTATCCTAGCACTGGATGCCCTACTCAATCAAAACTTGGCCTCTGCCAATTTTGTTTTAGACCGCTGGGCTGTTATCTTGTTAAGCTATTACCAGCAATCTAAAATCTTTATCCATGATGACTGTTTTGGGTTGAAGGCTTTGAGGATCTTTTGCTTCCCAGATAACAAAATGTAGTCTATACCACACATGCCTATATTTATAGAAAAAATTTGTAGTTGGGTATGTGAAAGGAGAATGAAGTTGTAGGAGAGTGTCTCCTCCATGGTGGCCTGGCACCTTTGCATTTCCATTTAGGCTCAGAACTGCAACTAATCTGAGTTTTGTTTAAATGCCTTGTGACCCTCCCTGAGTATAAGAAGATGGAAGGTTGTAGGGAGCTGCTATAAGAAACCTTCTCCTGGGTCACAGATAGGACATTTCACTGACGCTATCAGGACATACAAATGTTCAAAAAGCAGCTCACAGAAGGGGAATGGATCATTAGAAGGTAAATGTTTTACTACTTGGTGTCATGACAAAATAACAATTTAAACATATTTCAAGTGATGTCTTATGTTTGATGCTAGATCTTACACACAGATCTCTCCTATAAGGATATCCTGAGGCAGTTTCTTTCCGCCTACTGATTTTGATGAGGTATGGGGCTTTCTGGCCTGCAGAATATAAAACCACTCTGCTGTAGTCTAGATTTCTCAGTGATGTGAGTATCCCCAAACTTGAATTGTCCACAGAGCCCCCCCCTTTTTTTTCTCTTGTGTTTTCTGGTATATGGGACAAAGGTATGGGAGAACTGGCACTCTTATTTGTACTGTCTATGTAATTAATAAACTGTAGATCTAAAAGTGGCTTGTTGTATCTATGCTAGTTACATCAGTCAGGTCTTGGCCTTGTCTAGTTTATGTGAATATAATCCTGACTGCTATCCATGTCTTTTATCTATAAAATGATTAGCGTACTTGTATTTATCCAGTCATTCTTAAACTTAATTAGTACTGAGGCCGTAGTATGTTCTTCTGTCATTTCTATTTGGGAAACCTGCTGTGAATTATCAAGTGCCACTTGGGGCAGTACTACATACTACTTTATGAAGCTAACAAATTAGAACTAATTGGTGCAAGAAAATTTCTGAAAAGTAAAGCACAAAGTATTCTTCTCAAGGAAGTTTGTGTACAGATCAGTCTTACGTGTCTCAACCTTCACATTCTCCATAAATGGAGTAAAGTAACAGCAATACAGTTTTGACAGATATGACAGTAATTTATATAATAAGCATGTCATGAGCAGTGGTGGAGTACCATGTTCTAGACTCTGTGCCAAACTGGGAAAATACAGGTACAATCTAGTCTGGATCCCAGAGCTAGAGGAACTCAGAGGTTAGAAGACACAGGCATTCAGGTTATTAAGTATAATTTTGATTAAAATCTGTCATAACAAAGCAGTGGTGTCTGGGAACATAAAGCCTAGGGGATTAACTTCCCCTAGCTCAAGAAGTGCTTCTCAAAAGCAGTGCTGTTTGCAGATGAGAGTTTGAGTCCTCTGCCTCTGCTTGCCTCCAATTGTTAGAAATCTGCTAAAATTAGAGTAAACTCAAGTTAGGAAACAGCTTAGGGAGAAAGATCGGTAATGGCTCTTGAGGAATTCCATGCTTTCTTTTAAGAGGGCAACCTTGGAATTGGAAGAGCTACCCAGCTGTGGGCAGAGTTGTTGAGTAAATGCTCCCTCTGTTCTCTGAGTCAGTTGCTTCTGGGGCTATGCTTCCTGGTGGGATTGGAACACAGAGAGCAAGAGTAGAATGGACTGTTCCGCTTCACAGCCCTGCACACTTAATAAGGTGTTCATCATTCCTGGAAGAGGCCTAAATGTTCTCATTTTTGGCCTGCTCCTCCACCAACAAAACAATCAGAACAAACTCCACGCCTGTTGATTTCAACACAGCTTCACTAACTCTGACTTAGATAATTTTAGTCTAGAGAACTCTTAGAGCAAAACTGAAGGAATGTTAGCAGTGTGTGAAGGACACAAGATGGTTCACTGCAGTCAGGAATGCTAACTACTTACCTTCCTGTTTGCCGTACCTTCAACCACAAGTTTAAAGTTAGTGAATATGCCACTAACAAGGCTACAGTCACTATTCCCCTAAAAAATGAATTGAAAATGGCATATAAATTTCTATTAAATTCTATAAACTTGCTCGAGAGCCGCTGTCCCTTCGGTTTTCTATACTGATTATGAACTACACTGTTATTAGACAATCTGCTCAACACAATGATAGAATCAGCTCCTTTTCTAATATACATATATGTAAAAATAAAATAGAATGTATAAGGTGTAAGGGAGAAAATACAAGGTATGAGAATTTAAATCTTCTAATTTCAATGGGCCAAATTAGAAGGAAAAACTCTTAGTGTAGTAAGGCAAATACTAGCCATTCCAGAGCCAGCATTTTCTGGATAATCTAAAATTTTTTCCTTTTTCTTTTTCTAAATCTTATATGTTAGCTTCAATGAAAACTCTGGTAGCAATTTTTATTAAGTTTTTATTATGAAAATGTCAAACATATAAAAGTAGAGTAACATTTAATGAACCATCATATAACTATCACTCAACTTTTAATAACAATTATCAAGATCAATCTCATTTCATCAATACCTCCAAAGCACTTAACATCCACAGGCTTATTTTGAAGCAAATTCCAGGTTTCATTTCTACCATAAATATTTGAGAATGTATCTCTAAAGATAAGGACTCTTGTTTTCAACATAACCACAAAACCATTATCCCAACTAATATGAAGTATCAGGTCAATTTTTAAGTTATCCTGATTGTCTCACAGATTTGCTTGTTACAGTTTGGTCAAATCAGGATCCAAAAATAAGCCCATTTATCACAATTAGTTGATATGTCGCTTAAATTCACTGAATCTATAGGTGCAACTTTGATCTTTCTTCGGAACATTTATTTTTGAAGAAACGGGGTCATTTCTCCTTTACAGTTTTGAATCTGCAGACATCATTTCTGTGGTGCACAGTGATAAGTTTCTCTCTTCCCTGTATTTTTCACAGATTAAGAATTACATCTAGAGGCACAGTCAGATTTAGGTTCAAAATTTTGGCAATTATTTTCAGCACACTGCCATTAGACGGCACAAAAATGTCTGGGATGACATAGGCAATATGAGTAATAATTTTTGTTTTTTTAATCTCACAGCTGCCTTGAGAACTTGTGTGACATTTGGCATGTAGAATCCACATATATGCTAGACAGTACTATAATAACATCAGATTAGAAAATGAATGCTTTGCCACTAGGTATCATTACAAAATATCATTTAAACAAATCTTCAGTGATATCTATCATATTTCAAGTTATGTCTTGTATATCAGATATGTAAAAATAGACTAAGTAAACAAGGTACTTGCACTAGAGGTCATGTAACCTGGGGAATTACAGACAAATAATCCTAACAGCAGAAATAGGCCATAGGGCTGCCACATTTGAAGTCTGTACAGATACAGTGGTAGTGCAACAACCTAGATAATAGTCACTGTAATGAACAGGGAGAAGTGTCCAGAGCAGAGGCTGCGCTGCGTCCCTTGGAGCGTGAAAGAGCTCACCTATAGTTCACAATTCCATTCATCATCGGGTTCTTTCAGATGAGTCTGAACATCTATGCTGTTTACCTAGAAAAGAATAAATTCAATAGTTTCATAGCTCATCAATTCCTCTTGTCAAAAAATATTTACTAAGGGTCCACTACAAGTTCCCAAACACTTAGTATTGGAAAAACCTTTAGTAAAACATCTAATGCAGTTCCACTGTGAGGCTAGATGAGAGCCTGAAGAATTAACAATTTCTCTTGGCTAAAATCTGAAGCTAAGAAATAAAAAAATAACATTAGTAAACATTTTAAATCTGTGAATCAGTGAAACTTTTAGCCACTGTTCTAGGTTTGAAGGATATTGGGAGGATTCAGGTTAGCTTTTAGTTCTTACAGAGTACTTACAGGTCAACAATCATTTTTTAAAAATGCTTTTAATAGAATGATGCTGAAAATACTTTTTTTTTTTTTGACTTGGAGCTTCCACAAAAGGAACTCTGAAAAAGGAAACTCTGGCCAGCTGTTAGTGCCATAGGCCTAAAGCAGCATTTTCACCATTCTCGCCTCAGATAACAACTATTGGTGGAGGAACTGCTTTCTTACAATTGTACTTCAGTTAAGGGAAATGAGAGAAGCAGCTCCAGTTTTAGAACATTTACACCATCTATCCTGGAAAGCGTTCCAGAATACAAGATGCCTGTTCTTGACGTTACATACATACACCCTTTACTATTTGATGCTTATAAATACAAAAAATGTTGAGAACTTTACAAATTTCAAAAAGGAATTAAAAACATTTATAGCCACCTCCATCCCTTTTGGAGTTACCTCTTTCTGATCAACAACATAGGTTTCTTAGAAAAAAATGATCATCAGACATCTGGGAAAATACATATATATATATA